ATTTAGAAACTACATCAGATGGACTCAAATATAAAGTTAAATGGAAGTTTTGTTATTTTTCAATTGAACATTTTTCCAAATCAGTTTCCTTCAATAAAACCTTGAACAGAAACTGCAGGTTAAAACATGTTTGCTTTTCATCCATGCATTCTGGTGTGACAATAAAAAAGTACAGCAGGGTAAAAATACTCCGAAAAGTAACTTTTTTCACATCCTGCTGTTTGACGGAACATTTTCATTCAGTCTGCAGTCGGTTGTGTGAGTTAATGTGTTCACCGTTCAGCATGCAAAGTAAAGGTGCGTCTTCCTCGGCGCCGGACGGCCGGAAACCGGCCGGGAACCGGCCAGGAACCGGCCCACACCTTCTGAAACCAAGGCCTTGTGTTTTCTGTCGCCGCATTATTCTTTTGTCGGTTGTTCCTGCGCTGCATGTTAAACAATGCAAATGGGCCAAAGCTTGTTTTCCCCCCTCTTGAGTGGGTTATTCTCAAGTCATCTCCCTGGAAAAAATGCTGGTGATTTCCATATTTTAACTGCAGTGTGGCTTTTCCTGCAGTGTGTTTCAGTGATGTTTTTATTCTTCCCTGCCTCTCCGTTTTTAATGGGATACCGCTGTTATCACACACTTTCTTTCTCTGTTTCTATAATGACAAATTAGAGTGTTGCAGCAGAAAGAACACTCATCTTCTTCCCCTCAACAAGTCAAATGCATAATATATGTAAATTGTGGTTTTTGACTGTGTTGCATATGTACCATAGGAGGCCCTTGAATTATGAATACATGAACAGGTTGCAGACGAGTGAAGCTGCTGCTTGTTGGAAATCAGTTAAAGATGATTTCCTCCAGCGAGTTCAGGCTGCAGAAAATGGTGAAAACTATTTCATAACTTCAGTCAAGTTTATTTGTTTGAGCAGCAGCTCAGAAATAAAAATACAATAGCGACTACTTATTAAACATTGGATTTGGTCAAAGGACGTAAACAGGAGGGTTTTTAGACGAGGTTTAAAGGACTTGAAGTTAAGTTTGTTCCAGACTTATGGTGCATAGAAGCTGAATTTCTACATTCTTCATATATTACTGCGTTTCGTGTCTTATTGACCTTTTAAGCAGATCTGTTGCTGTAAGAAATAAAGGCATAGATAGTTTTAGTCCTTTTAATCTGGAAATCTTATTCAAGTGATAAAAGGTCGACTTTATAACTGTCTTTATGTGGCTCTGAAGGTTCAGGTCTGAGTTCATTACTGCACCCAGATTTCAAGCAACTTCTGTGTTGTGTTGGACAAAATAATTGATGCCTTGAAAGATCAGTTTTATTTACTATTTAATATATTCCATACATTTCATCCAAAGATTTAAATCTGTTTTCAAACATCCTTAGTTTTTAAGTTTCTCGGGTTTCGCTGCAGATTGGTCCTTTTCTCCTTTTCCATTTCTTCTTCTCTCTCTCTCAGCCAAACTCAGGCTTTGTTAAAAGCCTCTGAAGCTCTAATTTGCACTCAGTTTGCATGGTCACGAGTTGCGACTGGAAAAACTGCACAGTCAAATGTGATCCTCAGCGAGTCGACACAAACCAGCGGGCCGCCGCCATGCGTGCCGAGCTGCACAGCAATGTAAACGCTCAGTGGAAAACCACCTGAAGTCCATCAACTCCTTCTGTTTGTAACGGCAGGAAGGATTCCCAACATTCTGTTAAAGAACTGATGCTAAATTGTGGGCTAGGATTGATCTCTAAAAACATTAAAAAAAACATAAAGTTACTTTGGTTCTTTTTTGCTATAAATATTTCAGTACATTAAAGTGTGCAAAAGTACTAGCTTATTGTATTACCATTTTATGTGAAAATATTTATATTTTGCTTTATAAAAGCCACAAGTTGCAGCTTCCTGGGTTAAACTAAAAGGCTTCAGAACCAGTTCTTTATGAATTTGGACCTTTTTTTTTAAGATTAACATTGAAATTATTGGAAATTTAGCTACATATTGTGAAGTTTGATGCCATTTTCCACCTGAAAAGTCCTAAAAATGAAAAACTTTAGACCGTTCCCCACACCTTGACCTTTGGTGTGAATGTGCAGAAATGAGAGGAATGACGTTAACGGTCCGGCAGCATATGTTGGTGTGTTTCCTCATTCAGCATTAATGGCGCCTCGCAGATGTGCGAATGGCCCGTTTGGTTCAATTCCTGTTAAATATCCGGATGTTCACATCGAGCCACATGCTCCCTCAGCCTGGAGGATGTTTCACCTTTTTATTTATGCAACCACTTCTTGTTTTTCTGCCGAACACCAAACGTATGGAACTGGAGTTCGGCTCCATCTTCGTCTGTGAAGCAGATTATCTCATTTTTTTCTCGATGGTTTTTGAGATCAGCTGGTTTTGTAGCCAAACTACCAGGGCTGGCGTTTTGGTATGAGGTGTTTGGGTTTGTCCTAAAAAGTATCTCATGTATCTGTCTCATGTATCTGAATGACATTTGTTGCATAAGTTTCATTCTGGAGGTTAATTCTGATGTAACCAAAGTCATTAATGTGGCCATTAATGTTGAATTTTTGTCAATCGTCTATCAATTTAGCTTTTTATTGGACAGTATAATGTGGGTAGAGTAACCAAGAAGCGAACTCGAATAACAGTAACACTATTTCTCAAGTAAAAGTACAAAGTAGCTATAAATTAATTTCTCCAAGTACGAGTAAAAAGGTAAAGAGTAACTGATCAAATCATCAATAACATCATCAGACAGACAAAAAATAGAAAGTTAAGTGGAAATTTTGGCATTAAAGGACCAAAATAACAAAATCAGGCAAAATGAAAATGTTTCCAAATCAGTCTGTCTATAAAAAAAACTTATGAAAGTTTGAAAACTGCAAGTTTTAAACTTCAGCAGAGATCAAGTTAATTCTGGTTTTCATTTAAGTTGTAAAAGAATTTTAGTTACTGCTCATATTTTTGCAAAAAGTAAAGTATGTATATTTTGTCAATAAAGTCTGAACCTGTTGCTACTTTCGGGCTTTCTTGGAAATCACGCTGATCTATTGTTGTCTGGAAGAAAAGTCTTTCTGCTTTGATGCTTTTTCCGAAAACTTAAAGGGTTTTGGGTGCAAAATTTATTCTGATTTCTTTAAAATGAGTAGGGATCCAAGTAGTGAGCCCTGTGGAACGCCAAAGTTTATTCAAGCTGGAACTCTCTTTAAAAACAGGTTAACACCTTGTATTAGAAACCTTTTGTGGAATATTTCCCATTTACATTTATTTTGTCACGTTAAGTAAGTTGGGATCAGATTTAAATATTTTTTTAAGCCGATTAAGAGCAGATTATGTTCTTATCAGTAAAACCTCACAATCACATGGGTGTTCTTTCTTTTCACCATCACTGTGTGTATTTAAATTATATATATTTCCAGGTGTAGATTTTTTTTGCTGTAAATGTTTCTCCCTCTCTTCCCACCGGAACTTCAAATGAGTTATTTATCAGCTTCACCTCTCAGATGATTATCTGAAGTCATGTGAATTCGGCTCACGTTTCGCCTCCTTGATGAGATGGAATCGGCTGCTTTCAGATGTTACTGAAGCTCCAGCGTGATTAGGACCTTCTGAACAGCCACTGAACTCTCTAAAAAATGCAAAAAGCCACTCAGACCAGGCCTGAATCTCCCGTTCATTAAAATGTGACATTTTAGAGATGATTTCACAGGACAGCGTGGAAGTCTCTTCACCTGCCTGACCGTGACTTCTGTCTTTTTTTTCCTGTCCTGATCTTATTTTTTCTCCTCTTCTTCATCTGATAATTATCATTGCTGCAGTTAGCCCTTTAGCAAATCCTCTGGAGGACGCCGCCCCCGCGTTTTCTCTGCTCCTAATGAGAACCAGAGCATGTGACAAATCTGCCTGGGGAAACTTTCGTGGAAGTTTTCAGAGTCTGCGATGCGGTTCGGTTCCTCGTCCTGACCCAAACAGTTTCCTGTTTGTTCTGTTCTCAAACTTGGAAATGGATCCGGCCAAATTGGCAGCAGGACGGGAACCCAAATCTAGGTTTTCAGTACAAACTGCGAGTTTGTGTCGCCAAATCTGCAACCTTTTCTTTCTGCTTCTGAAAGCCAAGATGGAAACATTCGGCAGCTTTGTGCAAAAAATGTAAATGCATCTTTTAAGGATTTGAACATACAGTTACAGTCAGAGGAGTTCATTATGTCACTGTTTCAGGCCTGATAAAGTTCACTGGACAATAAATTGTCTCAGAACTTTTTGTGATAAACAATATTATTGTTCTGAGGCCATTTTCAGATAATAACGGCAAAATATTCAAGAATAAAACTTTAAATTCTAATAAAACTGGAAGACATTTTAAATATTCAGAATATGTAAAGAAAACAGAAACAACAAATAAAATGAATTATGAGACCAAAACACCAGACTGAAGAGTTTTATCAAACAGTTTTTGATCAAAAAAGAGAAAAATGAAAAATCAAGCAAATGAAAATTTAGTTTTTATCGCTAATGAAATGATTAGGGTTATAACTTACATACAACCCTCATGCACCAGTTTAATTTTGCCAGTAAATTATAACAATGTGAAAAGTTAAGAGACCACTTAAAATGATCAGTTTCTCTGATTTTACATTTTGTAGGTAAATATTTGAGTAAAATGAACTTTGTTCTTTTATTCTTCTGACAACACGACTGACATTAGCAGAAATTTTGTATTTGCAGAAAATGAGAAATGGTCAAAATAACAAGATGCAAAGAAAACAAGTTCATATTCATTTAGAAACAACAATACTAAAGAGAAATCACTATTGTATCAGATTTAGCTTTATTGCCTCTGTTTTACTGTTTACATTTAGAAGTGTCTAATTATAATTATCAGGTTGAAACCAAACAAAATGGATCAATGTAAGGAAACAAACGGGCCGTTTTGTTGCAACGTTTGAACTGAAACGGCCCATTTAAAACCCTGTAATCTGTGTCTCAATTTGCTGACCTCGTCTCTTCTCTCCTTCCAGATAACTTCCCACAAATGGCTCATCAGAAGCGCTTCATCGAGCGGAAGTACCGTCAGGAGCTGAAGGAGATGCGGCGAGAGCGAGAGCGGCAGGAGAAGGAGACGGACGACGCCGCGGCGGCGGCCAGGAAGTGACGGAGAAGCGTTAGCCAGTCAGGCGAGAGCTAGCGAAGGTTGATTGAGTCAGGGTGAGTCAGGAAGCCACAAATGTCCAGTTTTCTACTTTTTATGTCTGAAAGGTCCTGGTAACCCAGGATTCACTGCGTTACCAGAAGAAGCTAACAACTAGAAACAAGAAGTTTTTATAAGATGGGATATGAGATGTTAAAATAAAGTTTTAAAATTCTGCTATCAGTTTTTTTTCATTTCGATACAGAAAAACAGTTTTGAATTGACTTAAAATGTTTCCTTGTTTTAAGAAAAGACATAAACATACTGAATTACTAATTTGTTTGATAACTGCACCAATACACCAATAGCTTCACAAGCTAGCTTAAAAATGGAAAAAAGAGCATAAAGCGTAGAGTTATACTGAATAGATCTGCCGTTATGGATCGTGCACATTCTCATTTGATAGCCAATTTATAATTTTTCAATATTGGGACCGATACAGACATTGATATCGGATCTGTGCATCTGTAATTCTGAGATAGAAACCACTAAAAATGGTCCATTATGCTAACAATGTCACCATCTGTTCCACATTTGCCACTCATCCACTAATAACCAAAATATTTTTTTACCCCCTTGCTTGTGATCCAATTGGCTGTCTCACAGATCTTAATTATAGATTGTTTAATTAACAATTTCCCCAGCTCAGACGCCTCTGGATCCAGCTATTTAACAACGGCAGACACATTAATAACTATCTGTGGTGGAGTTGAGTCTTTTTATATTGAGATTCATTGTAGATAAGCCTTACATACCTGAGAGGGCGAGAAAGTGTCTGCTGTGTTCGCCTGCAGCTGCTGTCACATTTTTCAAATCAAAGTTTCCATCTTTCACAGAAAACCTCGCCGAGTCGGCCTCATTTTAAACATATTTAATATGTCATATAAATATTCAGTACAAAATATCACGGTTTACAAAGCAGAGTGATGAATGGCCGGTCGCGTCGGGCCTCCGCGGACTACCACTAGTTCTCGGGTTGTTTCTACATAAACAAAAGTCAACCACATTGCCACCGACGGATTTATAGCATAGAAGAGGCGAGGCCCACCGCGTCTGCACATCAACAACCACAGATCTACTGCATCTGGACTTCAGTGTCTCCAACCGTTTGCCTCACAGCAAGAGAAAGAAAAGAGAAACCCAATAATGGTGACATGATTACACCCCGTATGGAAACGGTAAAATAAAACACTTTTCTGTTTACATCCATTTGTAGCTAAATTAACATAATCGAGCTGAAAAATGCCAGCTAGCTACCTGGCTGATAATTAGCTAGCCTTGAAAATGTAGCAACCTGCAGTGGTGACATTAACAAGACAACCCACTCTACTAGCCTAGACAAAAATCCAGAAGTGTTTAGTTAGCCTCCAAATGCTAGTTGCTAAAGCAGAAGCCAGTTTGTAAAATTAAATGTCATCAGGCTTATGTAGCATTTTTCAACCCGTGTCAAAGATGCTTTACCATGAAATCAAAGTTTAATACTTTAGCCACTTTGTAATGCTAATCATTAGCATGTAGAAGTTTAATACAGCTTGTTGTGCTAGCATTATGAAGCTAACGCAGTGATTCTTGAGTCATGCTAGGTTTTTGCTATGTTCAGCAGCCTTGCTATGCTAACAATGAACTTGTTGGATTGTACAACAACCAGGTAGTCAGTAGGAACAGGTAGCAAACTCTAAAATTTATTTTGTCTTGCATAAGTATGTAGCTTGATTAGCATTGAAATGCTAGTAACCAAAGTGGAAGACTGGCTAGTTTAGTACTATTAAGATGCTATTTGTCAAGTTTGACATGTTAGTAATGCTAATAATTATCAGGCATATGTTGGTTAAAACTAAATTCTGAATTTTAATGCTAATGATGCTAACTGTCATTACTCTAATCAGAAAGTGTTACTGCTGATTAGCTTGGATATTTATTAGTGACCCCATGATAATGATCAACCTACTAGAAAGTCGACTTGATCATAGCATAAAAACATGTAGACAGTGGGAAGTGGTCACTTACAATAACATTTCTTCTTTAAAGCAGCTAATATTTTAAATGCTAGTAGCCAAAGAAGTGGATGGTTATCAAGCTTGGGTGGGAATGTAACTTTCAACTTTTATTTGTGAAATGTAAAAATTACTGGGAACTCTGCAGTAGTAACTCGGTTCTTTTTCTTACCAAACTCAAGGCAGCAGGAATTAGCATACTGTAGCTTTTCTGTGAGAAATGTAAGCAGCTAATTTGGATAGCTTCAGTGCTACTAGCTAAATGTTAAAATCCTTGTCAGCTTCTGTGTATTGAATCTAATCATTTACATTAATAAATGAAATGCAATCTGCAATATTGGCGATGCAGTGCTGCAGATGCTCATTGTTAGCATTATTAGCTTAAGTCTAGCAGAGAAAGGTGCAAGTCTGTGGGTTCTTAATCTGAACATGTTGGTCGAATAATCGGACAGAAGAAAAGATTTAGATTTTAGGAGGAGAATGAACCATAAAGCTTTCTTCTGAATGTGATCTAACTGGATCTCTTTACTCTTTACTATGCTAATAGTAGCTAGCAACACAATAATTCTCATTTTCTGGCTGAAGAAATTTCAATCTTTATTGATTTATTCAAAGTTTGGTAAGTCAGCTTGAATGATTTTTAAATAAAACTTTTAGAAATTGGGTTAAAAAAACATGGCCGCCACATATTGTTTTCATTTCTGTTAAGGTGGTTAAATTAGTCAGGCATAAAACTGGACAGCTATCTGTTAGACTGGTTTTCAAAGTTGGACCTGGAAAATTGTTATATTTATCAGAGTTTTGTGATCAGATTTAAAACTTGTGCTAAAAATGAAAGCATGATCCCATTATTGGTCAAGCTAGCCGTTAGCTTGGTGTATGCTGCTGCTTTATTTCAGTTTGCTGCATGTTTTGGTTTTATTTTCAGACAAGTTGTCACCTTGTCATTGGTCACCACTGGTTGCTAGGTTATCAGGGTTAGCAGTTAGCCAGATTTGGTCCTCCTGCCTGTTTTCCTGTGCTGATGATTAAATGCTTATCATAGCAACACTGTTTCAATCTGAAAACTGAAGTTAATAAACAAAACAATGTTTTATTGTAACCTCTCAGAGTTTTCCAGCCTCTATAATCAGCCAGCATGTTTAACAGCCGTCACCATTACAGACGGAGAGAAGAAAGTAGCTCTTTGGCGATTATGCCGTTGTGTTATTTCTTTTCCAAATGTCTAACAAATGTCAGCCTCTTCACAGGTTGGCCTTTTGTTCAAGTGAGGGCAGAGCATGTTGTAGTTTCTCCCTCTCAGAAACAGACACTGGGCTGAACTCAGAGCTGTTTACTCATCTTCAGAAGGTCTTTGACTAATTCTGTTAATACTGCAGCTTAAGGATCGCTCGCCTTTGTTTTCCAAATCACATTTAAAGCGAACCTCTCGTGTGTCCTCGTCGATGCGCTGACCTTCTCTCCGAGCCGAGGACAATCTTCTGGGTTTAAAAGCCTAATTCTGCGCCGCTCAAAGGTCAGGTGCCCCTTCGATAAGCATCTTTATGGAGGAGGCTGGAGGTCCCGCAGGAAATCAGCTGGGTAAAGCCCAGCGTTTGCTCTGGCTCCACAGCGAGGTACAGTGCATGTAATGAGGCGCGAGGAAGGAAAATACTGGTCCTCTTTGCTTTTTGGCACATTTCTGTTGCACAACTGCTGCTTCTGAGTACAAAATATCAATTCCAGGACTTGATTCAGACGTTCTGGAGGCCAATGAGGCTTTATTCCTGGGAAAATGATCTATTTTCATTCATTTTTAAAAGCTCAATCTCCACTTGTAATATTCAAATTTTCCGAAATAACAACCACAAAACATTGGCATGTTAATAGAAAGTTTAGTGGACGGATAAAATAGTGGTTGGTCGCGCTGTAACTCTACTTTTACTTTGCAAGCTGTCAATTAGATGCGTAGAACCAAAACTTTCTACCTGGATAAAAAGGAACATGATTCAGAACTTCATTCATTTCTGGTAAAGTCAGCAAGAAGTTTTATCAAGACCAGTATTTTCCTTATTGGATCAGATTAAAACTAATCTGTGCAGGTAGTTCTTAAACTTCCCTCTCCTGGGAGGAAATAATCCATCACCTCACAACAAAAACCTCAAAACTGTTTACATTTAACGTTATATTGGTGTGTAGAAGACAGAAGCTGCGTTTCCATGAAATAAGAAACGTGTTAAAACCATGCCGCGCCATTAATCTCCATCTACTTCCTGTCGTCTTCTTTGCCATTTCCACCAGTGGAAAACATTTAATTAAAACGCAGCTAATGAAGATATTTGAGATGAAATCATTTAACAACTTGTAAATTTACAACAAACCACCACAAAGCCGTGGGTGGAGTATTTATTTCAATGCCTGTTATTGAACGCAAACCATCAATTGTGTTAGAAGCTCTTCACTGCCATCTAGTGGTTGGAGTCCTGCATAGCAACTGAAAACAATCTCTTTTGGGGGTTTTTTTTAAGAAAGTGGCAAATTTATTTTTATAGTCACAATTTGTGTAGTTTTTACGGTGAATGGAAACGCAGCTCCAGCCTCCCGTGTCGATCTGAGGTGAATGAAGTTCAGACTGAAGAAGTGGGGAGAGATAAAAATCCCTAGAAAAGGAAACTGTACAGCGGACTGAGTCATATTACCGTACGTACACAAGCTAAGATAGAACTCACAATATGCAGCATGTTTTAGTCCCAGAAACACTGAAAATACGTCGGCATATCCGTTGGTCACCAAGCTGCTTGTGGAGAGTCTGGAAGTCTCAGGCAGCTTCGGGGAAAAAATAAAAAACAACCAAATAAAATCTGTCTATAGATTCGGGACTCGTTTGGACCCTGGATACACACACAGGAAAAACAAAAGTGAAGGATAAAAAGTCTTCACTGCGTCCCTGCAAAAACGCAACTAACACTGACTGGACACACAAAGCCTACGTCTGGTCACCGGAGGGACGGCTGGACGGCGCCGGAACCCGACGTTCGCGCCGGAACCCGACGTTCGCGCCGGAACCCGACGTTCGCGCCGGAACCCGACGTTCGCGCCGGAACCCGACGTTCGCGCCGGAACCCGACGTTCGCGCCGAAACCCGACGTTCGCGCCGAAACCCGACGTTCGCGCCGGCCGCGCCTCCACAGGCCCAAACCGCCTGAAGGTCCAGATTTCATGTCGCTCCTCCGTCCGTGCGTTGGGTTCTTGTTAGGAGTCGCTGTCGTCGCCGCCGTACATGTCCGCCAGCTTCTTGAAGCGCGGCCCCCACTCGCTCAGGTAGTTGTAGTCCTGGTCGCCCTCGGTGGTCACCGACTCCAGCGAGCTGAGCGACTCCGCCACCGAGCCGTTGCCCTCGTAGGCGTAGGTGGCCAGCGAGTCGTACGGCGGCGCCGTGGGGTCGCTGTCGTTGTCCTGCAGGCGCTGGTTGATGAAGTCCCTCACATCGCCGTTATTGTCCCGGCTGGGTGGCGGCGGCGCCACGGCCCGTCGGACCGGCGGGTAGAAGGTCTCGGGGATGATGTCCCGCCGCTGCTTGCTTTCCTCGATGGCCTCCGGGTTGCGCAGCGTGCCGATATCAAAGGCCTGCGTGTCCTCCTCTCCGCCGCCCTCGTCGTTGTAGCTGACGACGTTGTCCCTGACGTCCTCCTTGGAGATGATCAGAGGCTCCTTCTTCCTCTGGCGCCTCAGGGCGGCGAACAGAACCACGATCACTGCGGCACAAACAAACACCACAAATCAGAGGCTTTGTTGTGAAGGCCGCCGACCCTCCGGAGGGAATCGTCCATGTTTTCCACTGATGTTCATGGACTTTGTTCTGGTACCACTGCATTATGCATTGTGTCCGCTCAGGGCCACCGTCTTTTCACAGCATGAAGGAGCCACGCGTGACGACATGAAGCTGGATTCTCTGGGTTCAATCAAAGCCCAATTCTTACACTGCAAAAACATCTCACCAAGGAGTTTTATTTAGATTCTAGTTCAAATATTTTAACTCATAATTTACTTTGGAAACTTGTTTTAGGTCAATAATTTCTTAATATTAATTAAAAGAAATGAACTGGCTGATTTCTTTTAATTAATATCAAGGAGTTTTTGTTAAGATATTTGCAGTAGAAACGACATAAAAATACTTGGTAGGATTTGTGTTTTTAAGTTCGTCCTCTGAAAGACCAGTGAACAATTTTCTAGGTAAGATTTTTGCTTTTGCACCGTCGACTTAAACATCCTTCTGCAGCTCAGGATTTTATCTTTTTATTTATTAACGTTGGTCACAGTCGGCTCAAACTAAATTATGACGGCAGCTGTTGTTCCTGACACAATAATCCACCCACCAGAGGAGACGCTTCAAATTAAGAAGTGAAATATGAAGCCGCCTCTGAAACACCTGCCGGGGCTCGGACTCATTAACTCACTGAGCAGGATGACGACGCAGAGCAAGATGGCCACCAGGGCGCCGGTGCTGAGCCCCGCCCTCGCCGTCAGCGCCTCCGGGTTGCACAGCTTCATGTTGCCCTCGCGGTCGCAGGTGCACACCCTGATGGTGAGCGTGTTGGTGCTGCTCTGCACCGGGAACTCGCCGTCCGTGATCACCACCGGGACGTGGTACACGCTCTTCTGGAGGCTGTTGTAGCTGTTCCTCCTGGTCAGGATCCAGGCCGTGTTGTCTGGAGAGAAACGGGTTCAGAACCGGCAACACGACTGACACCAATCCCACAGCATGTCGGTGGGATTTCAGGGTAATACTGTTATTGTTAGCTAGCTAAATAGATTCCCTTGCAAAACACGTCTGCTACATTTTTTTGCCTTTGTACGAGAGCTTATTAGGGCCCAATGTAGAGAAGAAAAAACATTTCTGCCAAAAATCTCAAAACATTTTCAACTTTTTTAGCAGAAGTTTATAATCGCTCTACAGTGGCCATAACACGCCGTCGTACCTCTCATAATGAGCTGTTTTAGGGCCTCCTGTCACTTTAAATCCAAACAATCTGCTGCTGGTCACACCCACCAACTGAACATTTACACTGCAAACAGATGTACAGTTAGACATCCATAAATCCTTGAAAATCAGAAGTGGAGCCTCCTGCACAACCAACAATTATGTAGCAAGAGGTTTCCGGCTGGTAAGTCAACAACAAAACACTCGTCTTTTCCAGCAGCCATTGTGCAGCAGTAAAACCAGCTGGTAAAAATGTGCTGCAGCTCAGTGTCTGTAGAATAACATTCAACATTTCAGAGGTTTTTGAAACAGCTAATTTCCCAGACAATAAGAATACAGATTTTTTTTAAGTGATTGTCCCATTTTTAGAAGCAACACAAATAAAAGTACAAAATTATTACAAAAGATTCTTTGAATCGAAGGTGTGGGCCTCCACCTCCACATCAGACCCAGAGGTCGTGAACTGACCTTTGTTGTCACGAACGGAGAAGTTGGCCTTGCCGACGGCCTCCGGCGCCAGACTGAAGATGAAGCGATGTCCTCCGAGCGGCTCGTCTCGATCCGTGGCGCTCACGATTTGTATCCTCTGCAGCGCAAACGTCAGATGTTACAGCGACCCGATTCTGAACCCCAACAGCGTTCAAAACATAACAGCTCTGAATTGATTGCAACAATGGATGTGAAATGAATATGATTTGACTGGGAAAGTATGAAGAAAGGCTCCATGGATGCGTTCCAGCTTCACACCAGAGGATTCTTGGTGGGTTTCCAGGATGGGGTCATTAAAACAAAAGCACATGTGCAGGAACCGATCCAGGACTTTCCCAACAAAGGTGGGGTGTTGATTGGTCGTTTACTGACCCGATTCAGGAGAAAAAGCTTCATTTTTATCTCTTTAAAACAAACTGCTGCACTGAGCTCAATTCTTCTGCATTTTATGCTTTTGTCAACTTTTTTTGTAGAAGAAATGAGGCTAAATTAAAATCTGGCCCTTTGTGAAACAGTCAGATGATTGCAGCACAAACATTAAAATTATTTTAGCACAATTTTCCTCCATCAACTCAACAGATTTATGATCTGCCAGCAGATTAAATTTACTGTTTTCAAGCTTTTATGCCAGTTTTTAAAATTGAAGTAATTAAAAATTATTTTTTGCTTCAAATTTACAAGTTACACTCTGAACTGAATCTTCCATTACCTGTAAAGGAAAAATACTTGGATAGTACCTGTCTGACAACATGAAGTAGGGTAAGGGGTATTTTTGTTCATCTGCTTTTAAAGATAGTTTTTATGGCCTCCTTCATACTTCCTTACATTTATTACTAAAAGAAAAATAACAACATTGAATCCTTTCTTTAAAGATCGGTGGTGTCTAATCTTATTTTTCTTTCCAGTTTTCCATCTTAAATCTAAAGCGCTGATCAGTCGGAGCTTGTCTTTGGTTTTGGGAATGCATTTTTTAACAGCAGGGTTAAAAGACGAGGTCGCGAGCGTGAAGCCAGGAGAGACCCGGCCCGCTCCCTTCACTGAGGTTTTTATACATCATCTCCACGTTTACAAGGCCAGGCTGTCAAGGCTCCCTTTGTTGCAGACTTCCCGTGTTGCAAACATTTCAACATGCATGAATCACACAATAAAACAGCGATTGGACATGAAAACAGATAAAAGACAGATTCATCCTTGCAGACAATAAGCGGAAATTCTTTTTTTTTTTTAAGCAGCATCAGAAAGACAGTTTTAGATTTGGCCTTCCAGGGTCCAAACTGGCAAATAAAGGAAACTAAACCATTCAACTATTTTTCCTTTTTTTTAAATTCAACTGCGGTGCGGTTCAAATGCCAAACGATCCGCGAACAGCTCCAGAAGCAGGAAGCAGAACATAGAGCAGGGCATTCTGGGTAAACGGTATGTGGTCTTTTACCAACAACTATGAGAAATCAGTAAAAACCTGATGCCAATCCACTGTTGTTTACGTTTCATGAAGAAGGAAGTGGTGCTCAGTGTCTTCAGAAGTTTTCATGTTGTTTCCTTCCGTGGTTGTCGATGCAGCGCCCCCACAGGCGAGGAGGGGAACATGCTTTTTAACTGTTTGGTTTGTTTGGCACAAATGTTGCAACTTTGGCTCCCAAACTTACTCACTTTAGTTTGAGTAAGTAATCTGTAGCTGCTGGCTTGTGTAGCTGTTAGCTTCAGTAGCTAAAGTTAACAGCTACTCCTTTGGCTCTACCTTTCATGTCTTTATTCTATTTGAAACCGAGAGGGTTTTTTAGGACCTGAGATGTGGAACAAGCATCTAGTCCTTTTAAAACACATGTGACAGACTTGCAGATTCTCTCTGAGGTCTGCTAATTGGACACCTAATCCTAGCGGTGCGGTCCGGATGAAACCCTGGCGATGGCTTTGTGCGCTGTAATAACTGACCTGATTAGCCTTGGCGTTCTCACACACAAATGTCTCATAATTGGTGGCAAATGTTGGAGCGTTGTCGTTGACGTCCAGCACTCTGATGTATACAGGCACACGGCTTATCTGTCGCGGGTTGTCTGGGAAACACAAAGGTGGACACAGTGACTTCACACGGATAATTATTCCTTCACAGGCGTCTGGTGCTGAACACGTGAGGCTTTGGCTGCGTTTCCAGGCAACCGCTTACATCTAAATCAAATTATGTGTATATAAATAAATAATGAAAGAAAAACAAACTCTGTGCAACAACAAATAACCGACTCCACAGTTTAAATCTGTTAATGTAAGACTCTACATGTGAAATCTGTGCAGAGGTTTGCGGCGTTTCAATCACAACAAGCGAAAATGAGACACATCAGAGCTGCAACGTCAAAGTAATTACTGCAATGGAAAAACAGAAAACTGAAGTTTGCTGAAAAATTTATTTACTTCTGAAATTTACCCCTAACAGATTTTAAATGTCAAACTAATTTGAATTTCAGATATGATTCAGATTTCATATCTGCTACACAGAGCATCCTGATCCAGCTTTGACATTAAGTCTCTCTGGACGAATTTCAGGCCATTTATTTCTGCAGAAACGGTTTTAATTCAGCAAAACATGGTTCAGATCAATCTTCTGCTTCCTACATTTATGGACATTTCTCTTTATCTCCGTTTCAATCCAAACTACCTCCATGTTTGAGTCTGATGCTCTTTTCCTGAGATGCTGTTCAGTTTACAGCAGATGAAACGAGACTCATTATTCTCTTCAGTCCACAGAAGATTCTCCCCAAAAGTCTGGAGTCCATTTCTGAAATGTCGCAGTGCAAAGCGGCTGACCCTGGAGTTGGAAACTCTGGCATCCACTAATCAGAGATTTGAGTTTTTGTCCTGGCACTGATGCGGGTCAGCAGGTCATCAGTCCGGGCTCGGGTGAAACAAAATGGCGGTGAAAGCAACCAACTAAACTCACCCAACTAAAAACACCTCTGAATAATCTGGTCAATCCAGACAGCAGGTGAATCAGGCCTCTTTATGCAGGTTTCTACCATACAAGTGCCACTCACATTTGGATGACGAACAGCATTTCCCAGCCAGCACTTCACTTCAACGTCCAAAGATCCAAAAACCCAATTTGGCAGTGAGAATGCAGAGATACAGAACCGTCTGCTGTACTTACTGAACTCTGTGGCGATGACGGAGACGTTGTGCCAGGCGTTCTCCTCTCTGTCCAGCTCCCGCAGGATGAACACCGAGCCGTTTCCTGCGTGGATGTTGAACACTCGGTCCATGTCTGTCCGCCGGTCGATGGTGTACCTGCACCAAACACACAGAGGGATGAAAGCTTGTAGAGACGGTGGCGTGTTTATCTGGAGCGGTCACTTCAGAGTTCATAAGGGGAGTGAAATGAGGTATATGTCTGGGTAAGAGACTTGACTGGCCTACCTGTGGTGTAACGCTGGAGTGAGGTGAACTAAAGGCTTATTCAAGTCTGAAGATGCTTAAACTGTTTCCTTGAGCAGGATGGGTCTGTGGTCCGTACAAAACATGCTTAATACAGTTTTTTTTTAAACTAGCAAGTGGTTTCTGGACGGTAAGTCAACAACAAAACTCTTGTATTTTCCAGCAGCCATTGTACAGAGCATACAGGGGTAAAGCCAGCTGACCAAATGAGCTGGAACTCTACAGGTATGTGTTTGAAACGCCTCATTTTCCAAACACTAAAAAACATTAACTTACTGCCAAAATCAAGTGTTTTTTTTTTTTGTTTGTTTTTTTTACGTTTGGGTTTTTAGAAACAATAGAAACCTGAATGGAAGTACAAAAATGTTCAAATAAACATATTACTGCTAAACCTGGGCAATATTGCTTAAATATATAAAAAAAATTGTCAGATACAATTTTAATAATTTGTTTTTCTTCAATTAATTTTTTTAACAAGGAATTACAAATGATAAATATTTGCAAAAAGTGTTTTTTGCTTTAAATCAGTCATGCAAAGGAGCAGCAGGGCTTCCAGGAATTTTGCTTGATGACGAGAATACAGTTGCAGCAGAAAGATGCAGTTTTACCAGAAGGACATTTTAGATTCTAAGTAAAAGAAAATAATAATTTTAACAAGGAAAAACAGCTTTGACAGAGATATAAAGATTGATATGACTAGCAGTTTGTGAGCTCATGCTGCTGGTATTAGTCAGCAGCTTTATTCTTGTAATAAAAAAGAAAAACTGTGACCTGTCCCTGGACTTCAAAGTCTAAATTAATAGAAGTTTTCAAACAAAATGGCCGCCTGAGGAACGCTGATGTCACTGAACTATGGAAACACAATAAATCCAAAACTTAAATCTTTAAAAAACAAAAAATGTTATAACCCAGCCCTAATTATTGCATGTAAATTATTCAGTTAGAAAATGACACCCAACAGTCTGTATCCCGTTAGTTAAAGTCCATAAATTTACAGCTTACTGCAATAACGCATGTAAATTTATTAAAGGGTCGCATATTTTAGGAGTTTATATTCCTTAATTATGATGATTATGGAATGAAATCAATAGAAAATTGAGTTTTAAATCCTAAATGTCACATTAAAGCCAACGCAGTCATTGACTGCTGACCTAACAGCTGTCCGTCTGGCAGTCAGTGATGAGCAGCAAAACGTCGCTGCCAAAGCAGCTGCCAGCCACCAAACGCACCGACGACGCTTTAAAATCAAGATATAGCAAATTCAGCTCTAGGCAATGCTTTTCTGCAATACCTGCATTGAATTTACACAAAAAATGACACTAAAAGTACTAGTAATATGGTTTTACAACTGTTTTTTAGATGGTTTTTCTTAATAGATTGGAAGCTACATGTAAAATCAGTTCTTTTCTTGCAAATGTTTATATTTATCTTTATAGTAAATCCTCAAAGATGTCATAAAATAGTGGCTCTTTAAAAGTAACGGCAAGTATCCTGTACTTGCTTCCATGCTACGCCGCATTGATGCAGTAATTAAAGCAAAAGGAGCCCCTAACAAATACTGAACACACGTACTATAAAGTGCATTTACATAAGAATATTTTTTTTATTTAATTTTTACTTTTCCTGTAAGAACATGTATTTTTAAAGGAGAAAATACTTACATTTATAAATTGATCTATTATTGATTTATTACATTTATCTAAAGATTAAAAGACTTCACAGGTCAGAAAAAACTAAAATCAACAAAGTAATGCAATAATTTTTATTATTTTTAAGGTTTGTTGTCATTTTATCTCAAAAATGTAAAGATTTTTCATGTTTGTTGCGTTAAAGGAAAAACACAGATTTTTCCTATTCTTTCAGGCCAAGATATTTGCACTAGAAACCAGGCAGAAATATTTAAATCAGAACATTAACCTGGAAGTTAAACTGTAACAAACATCTGAAGTTACAGTGAAGAGAATCGGTTGGTTTGGTTGTTTCAGCAGCTTTGACCTGTGGTGGGGAGTCGCCTCTTCACACAAACAACACAACAGTGGAGTGTTTTCTCTGCTTGCCGTGAAAACAGCGGCGTGATTAATGGAGGCGCCGGCGTCACGAGGGCCGGCGTAAGCGGCAGAAGAACCCCGAGGGGAGGCCCTGAACGCCTCGCTGCGCCGCTCTCCTCCTTCCACAGATTTGTTTTTCCCACCGTTTCCTCCTTCCTCGCCGGGCCAAGCTGAAACTCTAACCTCGTTAAATCTGTGTCAGACGTGGGCTCTGCTAATTGCTTTTCTAAGAATCGCAATAATTCAGCCGGCTGGGTCAGACTCTGACGCGGAGATAACGGCGGTGGCTCGGCCCGGCCGGGGATCCGAAGTGCTGCGGTAAGCAGGCCGCCAGCCGGTCGGACGGATGGGAGGTCGCACAGGGTCACGGGAACGTTGGCGATCAGCTAATTCTTCTACAGATGGGGAACGGCGGCCATCTTTACAAATCACCTCCTCTGTGATCATTTACTTCTCCTTCCATCTTTATTCCTGAAACATTTGAAACATTCAGGAAGCCTCTTCAGTGTTTTTGCTGAGCTAGCATATTTTATTTCTCTGGTGTCAATAAACCATGATTCCTAAATAATTCCAAACGTTTAATTTTGGGGTAATTTTTTTAGGGAACATATTTTGTAAATTTAAAATTTTTGTACGTTTTTATTCTTCCATTTGTGTCTCAGTTTCTTTGGAAAAACAGCAAGAGAATTTAAAACAAAACTGCCGAGACATTTTTGGACAATATCTTCATTTCCATTAGAAAAAAGTGAAAAAAAGTCATCGGTATTCCGCTACTGACGAAAAAACACAATTTAGCAATGGGAGTGCTTCTATGAAGTAAGAAAAACGTTTCATACATGAAAACGTTTATGTGATAAGTCATTAACAAACATCCTCCTATCACTTCCTGTTGTCCTCTTTGTCGTTTCCACCAGTAGTAACATTTTGTTCATCCCACGACTCATGATGCAAATCAAGTGTTTCTCTTGGAGTTTTGCGAGAAACAATATTGAAAAACTTGATTGTGCTTTTTTTAATTAGTGTGTTTCTATTAAGCAAATTTATTGTTGTAATTTGAATTATATGACAAATAGAAACAAAGTTAACAAGTCACTTTTTTGGGTGTATGGAAAAAGAGCCATTTCAAAAACTTTGCAAATGTGACAGATCAGCAGGCACTGCCCGTAACCTAGCAACCGATGTGGAGTTCAAGCATGTTTGGTCAGCTGGTATTACCACTGCATGTACAATGGCTGCTGGGAAAGACAGATGTTTTGCTGTTGACTTACCATCCGGAAACCACTTGCTGCATTCTTGTTGGCTGTGTAGGAGGCTCCACTTCTGCTTTTCAAAGGTGTACAGTCAGCTTATTCTGATTTAAAGTGACAAGACGCCCAAACGGCTCATTCTGAAAGGAGCTAACAACAGGCAGAACTGAGCAGACTGAAATCTCTTAAGAATAAGTTTGTGTAAAAAATGTAATTAACATGTTTTGTGTAGCCTGTAGACCAATCCTAACCTGTTCAAGGAAACATTAGTGACATTTAATAAGGCAACAGTAAACCACTGGATTTTTAGCCTTGATCTAAAGGATCTCAGTGTTCCAGCAGTTTTGAGGTTTTCTGGAAGTTTGTTCCAGGTTAGTGGAGTGAAATCCTGAATATTCTTCATGTTTGAGATTTTTTTAGAGGAATAACTTGTTGCTGCTTTAAATGAAGTACAAAGTCAAACATGTAGAGTGAGATCCACTTTAGCTCCACTAAACATGAGTTTTATTTACTAGCGGCAGCTGTCAGATTGCAAATAATGAAACGTCCATTTTTATTTATTTTTTTACACCTTCAGGGGTATTTAGTCACATGTCAGGCCGGCCAGCTGGACAAAAACCGAAGCCTGAACTTTTAATGAGGACAACGTCCTCTAAACATATTTTAAAGGCCTGAGTGTAATTAATTAATCATTCGACGACACCGGCTGAATTTCTAACACCTCAGCAACAAAGTGCTCCTCATCTCCATTAAAGCTGCGCCTCCCCATGATCTGTGTTTGCATTCCTGTGAGCACGTGTCTGCGTGTGTCACTAACGCCAATAAATCCAAAACTTTCTGATCCCAGGCAGCCTGCAGGCCTCCCTCCCTCCTCCGCGGAGGAGCGGCGGTAAATGCCACCGGGAAGCTTTGCCGCTGATGACGGGTGATAAAAGAGAATGATATCATATTTGACACCTGCAGTAAAGCGCTAGAACTTCAACCTTGAGAGCCAACTCCCTCAGAGGGTCGTAAAAATGAAAAAGTCTGCGCCGGAGAGGAGGTGCCGCCTCGCACCTCCCCGCCGTCGTTCCCGTTTATTGGAGTCATTCGGATAATTACGGATCTGCATGAACTGGGGGAACTCTGGACCCGCTGCTGCATCTGCCAACTCTTTGTTTCAAACGCCTGTAGTGATCTAAAAAACATTCCTTACTCTCAGACATTTGTTTTGTCCATTGCTAACATTAAAGCTAAATGTATTTTATTTCCAGGGTGCTGAGCTTTTATTGACCAAATCCAGAAGTTACTAAAATCTCCAGCAGATTTGAAAGCTGCTTTGAGTCGGGAACATAGTCAAACTGTTAGGAAGGATTTTATGCAGTCTGGAGCTGAAGCCTAAACATTTAAGAAAATCAACAGTTTAACTGCAAAAACATAAAATCTTTGAAAGTATTTTCTGTAGTTTCTATTGCAAAAATCTTAGCACACTTAAAATAAGACAAAACAAAATTTTCAGCAAAAAGGAGCTTATAATTTTATAGCATTGATGTGAAAGCATTACTTCCACTGGCAGATTATTTCACATTTTTCCCATTTTCTAAGTCAGATGCATCAAACTTGAGGCTCGTGGGCCAAAACTGACCCACTAACCCTGTTTATGTGGCCATCAAGACTAACGAATCAGATGCTTTCACTAGAAACTAAACTGCTTTTTATGACGGTGTGTTTTTGCAGTGCCAGGACAGAGTCCAGGTCCGGTCGGTTACCTGACCAGGCTGTGTTTGTCGTCCGGATCCGACGCGCTGACCGACCCGATGATGGTGTTCCTCGCCGCGTCCTCCCTCACCTCCATGATGTAGCTGGGGCGCTCGAAGACGGGCGGCTCGTCCACGTCCTCCACCACCACCTTGACGCTGGCCTCGTCCCGGAAGGGCCCCATGGAGTAGAAGCGCGGGTTGATGTGGACGTTTTCCACCTGGATGCGGAGGCTGTACTGACGCTTCTTCTCGTAATCCAGAGGCTGAAACAACAGACACGGCTCACATCCAAACATCCTGCCATGTTGGTTTCAACAGCAGATTCAGTTTTTATTCATTAAATGTCTCTGGAATCATCTAATGACCTCATGTGAGGGACTTAGTGTCTTCAGAGACACTAACAAGACCTCTGATGGACACAGCGTCCAATAATCCAATAATGTGACTCATGTCGCATTTCAGTACGGGAGAAAAAAAACTAAACATGAAGATAACAAGGCTGCCTTAATTTAAAAAAGGCCAGGATTTATGTCAGGAGTTTTAAGACTCCAGATCTGATTCATTTGAACTGAACAGAAACACAAGAGAAAAAATAAAAACAACTTTTCTTCTGTCGACGCCTTTAGATGCTTTTCAGCTTGATTTCCTGATGCTCGGCTCGGCGGCTCTGTAACAATCAATCAGCGCTGCGGATTGATCTTCGCAGGGTGACATCTGTTCCTTTTGGTGTGTTTCTTCTTTAAATGAAGAGATCAGCGCCACAGATTATCGCTCGGCGGCTTCGGCGTGATAAAATATGAAATGGAGTGCAGAAATCTCATCTGGTTCTCTGATTAAAAGTGGACCAAGCAGAAAGAACCTGCAGCTCAGAAGCTCAAACGCCACAAAATAAGTTCAGTAAAACACCTTAAACTGCTTAAAACCCAAATTTAAATTGATTATTGACTAAAACCCAAATTTAAATTGTTACTGATAGCCTCAGCAAACACAAAAAGCTCAGAAAGTGTCAGATAAGAAATAAAAAAAGCAATGTTTTCCTGCCAAATGTGCTAAAAAAAGTCCTTGCTTTCTTTTCTAAAAAAGGAAAAAATGTTTTCAAAAATTGACTTTAGTTTCTGTTTATTGGCGCCTTCAGTCTCTAGAAAATCCATCTTCTTTCGTTCTTCCTCTGAATTTGTTGGTCTTTGTCTCTGTTTTCATCTTGTCCTCCGTCTCTCCTCTTGTTCTTCGCATTAGTTTCTCTCTTTCCTTCTTTCTCTCTTTCTCCTCTGAGCGTTTTTGTTTTATAAGTTCACCTCCGAACCTTTTAAATTTCTCTCTGAAACATCAGACTGATGATCCTACAGATGATGGAGGCCGACTAACAAGATTATTTCAGGTCATGGGAATATTGAAAATTAAGCTAATGAGGCTTAAACGTTTTTTCTTTCAAAGCATGTAATGCAAAACCACAAAATGCTCCCGAGTATTTTTACTCTCCAGTGCAAATGTCTTGGTAAAATTGAAATAAGACAAAACAATAAAACAGATTCAAACTTCTTGAATTAAAATTTCTACAGCTACATATTTTTTGTGTAGTTTCTACTGCAAAACTAACATGCAAATGACTTTTCATCAAGATACAGGACCTTGTTTAAAGTCAGTAATTCCTTAATATTGATTTTAAAAAGTAATTGTACCAATGGCAGATTATTTAAATGTTTATTTTTTGTAAAATTTAAGGAATTCTTGACCGAAAAAATCTCGTATTTCTTTTAAAAATTTTTCTTGTAAGAGATTAGCACAAGAAGTAGAATTTGTTGGTTAGATTTTGTGTTTTTGCAGTGGAAACGTCCTACTTTAGCGCTTTATTTTGCTCAGAATGAAAGGAAACATCTTTAATTATCTTGGATTATTCCTGTAGTTGATGTTTCCCTGTTTCTAGAGTTCTGCTGCTGCTGTTTTCTTATTTTTTGACTTGGCTTGTTTCTGAAGCTGCAGCCAGCGAAGGTATCCCTGCAATGATGGGATTAATTGGTGAATGTTGCATTTTAATGAGCGCAGAGCAGGAGCAGCTGGATCAGAGCGAACCTCCTCGCAGGCAGCCAACCACACGCATAAAATAAAATAAGAGGATCATCGAGGGCCTGAATTATGGAAATGAAATCCAGATGGAAGGAGCCCCTGAATCACGGCATATTAGAAGTGATTGATTTCTGCAGTTTGCCGTTAAGGTGGAGGGGGTCCATGTTCCTTTGAAGGGCCAATGGGACGACAGGCCTGTTTAATTATCAGGCTCAGAGTTAGAGCACGCTCAGTCCGCGCTGCTCGCCGCGCCGCAGCGCCTACAAAAGGCAATTATGTCATCCGCCGCCTAATGACGGCGTGATGGAGGGGATCGATGGGAGGCTGCGGCCCGATGAGGCAACGACCAGATACAGTTGGATACATCAAACGGACCTCAGCTCCACGCTGCCATCCATACCGGCATCAATACTCCTGCATCAACCTTGAGGAAGAGCGCAGCTCGCATGAAACAAATGTACTGGAAGTGAGAGCAGGCGCACGATGAAATCCAATAACGCCGCTGTCCGTCTGCTGCCCGCTGAAGCAGAGAGGAAATACAAAGTTCCTCTCTGCTTTTTCCTGCTATTGATTGGGCCGGTGTGTTTAAAGTGAGGCTGCGGGGGAAAGAAGATCACCTGATTTTACTCTCAATAGACTTATTTGTACAAATTAAACGTGACTATTATGCTTCTTTGAGGAGGTTATGATAGATCTATGGTATATACAAAACATGTTCGTGACTTTTCACGCAAAATCTTTCACAGATAATGAGATGATAGTGAGAATGGGTTGTTTTATGGCACCTTGTCTCTTTAAATCCACATCCGCAAACAGAAGCACAATTGTACAACTATGCATCTTTGAAAAGCAAAAGTGGCGCTTCCTGCACAACCAACAAGAATGCAGCAAGTGGTTTCTGGATGGTAAGTCAACAGCAAAACACTTGTCTTTTCCAGCAGCCATTGTGCAGCAGTAAAACCAGCTGGATAATAATTAGGCCTGTCAGAATGACAAATTGTCCCAGAAGTTATTGTGACAAATGATAATATTGTTTGGAGACCATTTTCAAGTAGCATAACAGTATATAATCTGGCATTATACAGTTATAATGCAAGATTAATCATTAATAAACCTTAAATTCTAATAAATAATTAACACTGGAAATGGAAGACATTGAAATATCCAAAATAAATAAAACACAAAACAATCATTTTCCAAAAACATGAACTTATTCAAAAAAAAAAAAAACTTTGTTTTTAGAAGCAGTAAAACCCAAATGACATCATTTTACATCTACATTTCTCCAAGTCTGAGCTTTAGACCTGAGCCGCAGCGGCGCGGCCCGTTTGGGTTTTAGGCCAGTAAAGCAACCACAAAATAAAGGTTGATTCCTGAGATTCACCTTTTGAGAGCAATAATACTTGTTCACTCGTTTGACTGCCGTGCCGACCAACTATACATCTGTTTTTATTGCCTTCAACTGCCTTCAGAATATCCACTTTCAGAGCTGAGAGATTTTTAGCTGGTAACTTCAGAGGAGAATAACTTTATGAATGTTACTCAATGATCTAAACTCGTAGAATCAGACAGAAACTCCTGGAGTCAGATTAACGGCCACGTTATTTCATAAACTAATTATCCTAAAAATGTATTTCAAACAGATCATCGCACCTTCAGAACATCTAGATTGTTTTCCAGTGGTCACAGTCAACCCAAACCAAGAAAAAGTCTTAATATGATCAGAATTAAATGGTAATATTCAGAGAATAAAGTAATTTTATCAAAAGTCCACCATGAAAAATACCAACAAATTAATTATCAAAGATTTTTTCTCATTCAAATGACCTTTCTCCTGATTTTGAGACATTATCCTGACAAAATTGTATATTTATTCTGCTAACAGTATAACTATATTCTCGAAATAAAACAAAAATTCACAGAGCCTGGCAACAAAAATGTATGACTGAAAAAAAGCCTCTTTTTGAACATAAATTCTGTTTTTTGTCATGTATTTTTCTGAAAAAGAAAGCAAAAGATAAATAAATAAAAAAATTCAAAATTGGATTTGAGATGAAAAAAATAGAAATTTTATTTTTTAAGCCCAAAATTCAGGTTTTTAAGATTAATATGATTTTGTTGGATTTCTGATATATTTATAATCTAACTCACTCAAGAAGCTTTTGTCTCATCATCGCTCAGCTTGATAAATGAGAATATGAGAAATCCAGTAACGCACATCTTTTCAAAGAGTGGCGCTAGCTGTTCAATCCTCCAGCCACTGAGGGGCGCTGTTATAAAACATAACTTAACAAAAACTTGATATAGAGTTACCAAACTTGAACAGTGAGCTGCTTGACTGTTTGGATCATTTTGTTTTTGCCGTTAATGTTTCAAGAGTCCTTAATAATTCGTCTAAACTGCCATTGACCCATTTACTTACTTTTATTGTGTTTTTGTCATATTTTGTCTCACGATTGGGTAGAATTGCTTCTGTCACTGAAATATTGCCTGTATGGAATTATATGTCGTCCATTTACAAGTCGATAAACTCCTAATGATGCCGAATCCTGCATTTGTTGGGTTTTATGTTTAGTGTCACGCAGAGTTCAAAGGTTCAAAGGTTGCCTTTATGAATGCACACATTTACACTTTTCTGTTTGTTAAATGCATTTCACAGCTATGCAGAGCACTGCGAGCGTCAAACTGGTAATGAAACGGCAAACAGAGCAACACAAGGCCGCCGTCCCTGCGTGTGATTTCAGCTTGTATACACCAGAGAAAATCAAGCTGTGAACATCCAACAATTTACATCACAAACGCTACAAATACCTCACATTCCCACCGTATGTGGAGCAGATTTATCCTTGATGATCGTCTACTTTAGTGCCATTAAATCACGTCGCTCATTTAACTTTACAAAAGGGTATTTACTTTCATCGCTGATGTATTTACATCGCAGCCCTGCACTGCGCGGCGCGGCGTTCAGCCTGGCTTCGGATGCACAACTTTAATCCAGTGATGCTGTTGGTGCATTAATCCCCAGCCGGGCGAGGCAGATGGCTGCCCTCACGGAGTCCGGCTTTTGCTGGAGGTCTCTTCCTGTTAAAGAGGAACTCTCCGCTCCGACTCCCTGTGAATCCTCCGAGGATCCCATTACCCCGAACTGGACTCTGTTAAAACAAACCGGACTGGACCGAATTTATCTGGACTCCTGTAAACTGTTTGCTTCCTCTTTAGACAAGGGCTGCAGTTCTGTGCAAGAGGGAGCCATTTTAGTTTCCAACCTTACACTGTAAAAACACAAAACCTTACCAAGTATTTTTGATCAAGTTTCTATTATAATATCTTAGTACATTTAATTTACAGGTAACTTTTCACCAAGATATAAAAACTTTTACAGGCAGTTTTTAGTTAAATAATCTGCCAGTGGAACTAACACGGTTTTAAATTAAGGTTAAAAAGTTATTGACTTAAAACAAGTTGTTATATTTTGCTGAAATGTTACTTGAATGTTAGTTTTGTCTGATTTGAAGTGTACTGAGATATTTGCTGGAGGAATACTTTGTGTTTTTGCAGTGTGCAGCCCTACCTTTAATAAAGACCAACAATAATTCTTGGCATAAAAGCCCAAAAGGAAAAGCTTTTACTTTGAAGCAGCCAGCCTGTTCTTCATGCAACGCACCAACTAAAACCTAATCCTATTTTAATGTAAATATTCCAGAGTGATGCAAGAAAGCGCTGCGGGTCACAGTTAAACTGCACCCCGCTGATGTGTAGAAACTACTTAATAAAGTAGGCATTAAAACAACATAACCTCTGACTGAGCGCGGCTGCTCTGTAAACACACGCCAGGCTGCAGAGGTGTGTGTTTGCTGCAGTAATAGACCCCCACCAAAAGCTGCTCACAGTGTAAACAAGCACTGAAAATCTCCAAGATCAAGAGTTTAATATCCTATCTGTGTTTGTCGTTCTTTTAGGAGAAAAAACACAGATTTACACGGAGTCTACGCAGTTTGTAACAGCAGCAACAATCCTCTGCCTGGTGTACACAGGATGTTCATGCTCCGGAGTTGTTATGCAGCCTGTGTGGCTGGAAAATGGGAACTTATTTGCTCAATTAGAGGCTCCTGAGCCACGTCTTGCTTTGATGAGCTCTGAGTGTTAATAAAAATCTACATTAACTGAGTCTTTTCAGAGAAACATGCAGTTGATGATGGTGGTTTCTGTGTTTTAATCTTGTTGCTGTCTGCAGACGGCCTCTGAGGAGGAATAAACGCTTTCATCAATTAGACTGAAGACAGCCTTACAGACAAGACTGAGGGGGAAACGCTTTCAGCTGCTGGAGATGTGAGTCTCTTTAGGCTAAATGCCGTCGCATCTGCAGAACACGTCAAACTGAAACAGTGAGAAACGAGGATGGTGCACAGCGACGCAGATTTACTGATTATTTTACTTTTTGTCGCATATAGAAATTCTAAATGTGTTTAATTCAGATTCTAAGTATCTTAAGTATTTTTTGTCTAGTTTTGAGTGTAAATCAAGCAAACAATAATTCCTTAATATTGATCAAATTTACCAAATACAGTGTAGATTATTTCACTTAAAATGTGGGAGAAATATCATTATAAATGAAATAATCTGCCATCAGAACAAAACAGAAAAAATCAAAAAGTATTTTTGTTCTAGTTTCTAGTAATAATATCATAGTAAATTTGACATAAGCTGGTTTTAGGTCAATAATTCCCTAATACTGGTAAATAAAAATTGTTCCACTTGCAGATTACTGAGCTGAAAACATGGGATAAATATTTTAAAAAATGTCTTCTAATGAGTTAAATAATTTGCCAACAGAACTAGTATTTTTTTTAATCAAATTTGGGGTTTTGCAGAATAGTTGTAAAATCTGTCTTCTTTTCCTCTCTTTGGGTTTTCATAGTTCAGTGATGTCGCCACTCCAATGGCGGCCATCTTGTTTCACAGTCGTGTTTTACTTGAACTTTGATTATATTTTGCATATACTTTTATTTCACATCCTGGGAACTGTAGAAACTTTTCTCTCATTGAAATTACTTTTTTTTAATAGTGTATTTATTCTCCTGTTATTGTAACTGTATTCTCCTCATTAAACAGAAATTCTTCATGCTGTTGCACAACACCGAGAGAGGAAGCCTGAAATAAGAGCCTCTGAAACTCTTTTCAGATTTTTGCGTAATTTTTCTCACTCCTTTGTGTTTCCCAGTAAAATCCAGCAGTTTGTGTTTGTAATTTGAGCTGCTGACCTTTCTGAGCACGATGACGCCCTCCTGCGTGCTCCTGTTGGCGTAGACGTCGAACACGCCCGGCCCGTCGCTCCCGATGATCCGGTAGTCCATCTCGGCGTTCTGGCCGATGTCGGCGTCCATGGCGTGGATAACTCCCACCGTGGAGCCCAACTCGTTGGACTCGGGCACCCTGAACTCGTACAGGGCTGCAAGGAGATCAGATTGTTACAAGAGACCTGATATTTGAAGATCCTTTATTGATCCAAAAGGGAAATTAAATGTTTGTGGTTCCTTGAACAATAAATCTATTGTGGATACAAAACATGTTTGTCACATTTTATGAACAAAATCCTTGTTCATAAAACAGAGCGAGGGCTGGTGCATTCCGGAGGTTTCATAAAGGGATCATTTTCCAGACACCAAAAAACATTAACTTACTGACTTCACCTAGTTTTGTCTTATTGATGAAAAATGATTCTGCTTATATGATATAAGCAGAATATCTTATAATCTGCCAGTGAAACTAGTATTTTTTTTTTTAACAATCTTGCTGAAAAGTTATTTGTAAGTTAGTTTTGCCTTATTTCCACTAGAAATTACAACAAAAATTCTTGGCATTATTTTGTGTTTTTCCAGAATTGGGTTGTTTTTAGAAGCATAATGAAGTACAAAAATATGTAAAATGTAACATTCAACATTTTTACCAAATATGAGGAGAAAAAAAATCCGAGGTGTGTGGTCATGACAACCGAGGTCAAATCTTTTCATCTTTTCAAATGTTGATCTTTTTTTTTTTATATAAAAACAGGTCAGAAAAAGGTAAAGCTCCTCCCAGAAGGCGCTGCCGAGAGAGAAACTGTCTTTTCTGACCTTGTTAATGTGAAAAGCAGCAGCGTAAGTGGGTGAGTCACAGAGTTCAGGTCGAAGCGAATCGGGAGCGTGTGAATAGATTTATCGCCGTTAGATGTAAAACATCTTTCGCTTCCAAACCGACTCGCTACAAACCCTGCTAGCATAAATCCAAGGCCAATTTGCTCAACATAAATTAATTGCCTCTTGTTTTTGGTTTTTCTTTTTTTTTATGCGCCAGATGATTTCCTGGTTCGGGGCGAGGCGACGGATTGATGGCTGCATCCAGCAGGCTTAAACGAATCGGCTGTGATGTACGCGCACGCAGCCCGCGGAGACAAACAGCACACACTCACTAATAAAACATGCTGACAGTGTTTTGGCAACGCCTGAGTCGGCAGGTCTATGTGACACTTAACTCCAAACACATTCACTGAAAGGGGGAAGCTCTGTGCGAAGGTTTCCCCGAGGCTAACAGGTATTTAGCATCAGGAGCAGAAGAAGAGGCATCACTCCGGCAGACAACAATGATATCGCTTCCTGACACTCTTCCTCCTTTGGGTGTCCCGTTACAATCTCTCTTCCTCTTTCTGCTCTGTCTCTCTATAGTTTATTTATTTTTTTGTTGTCTGCCTGTCTCTCCATCCTCCCTCGCGCTCCCTCGTTCTATTGCCGTGGAGATGACAGCGTCTGCCACCGGGCTCGCCGCGCGAGAACGTGGAAATTCAATACGATTCCAGGCTCAGCGTTACAGAGTCCCCAATCCCTGTTTTGTCAGTTTTTAAGCTATTTATAGAAAAGGTCATAAAGGATTTAGTGGACAGAGGTCAGACTGGAGCAACACACAGGGAGGGATGGATGGACTGTTTTATGGACGGAGTGATGCAACACTTAGACTTCTCCTCACTAACTCCTCCACTGTCCTCCATCATGCTGTCGGCCCCCGCTGAGACCGGCCAACGCTGACTGGAGGCTTCGCTGGGGCCCTGCAGCCATGTTGCCCTGCCACACCAAACAGAGCGAGGGCTGGGGGAGGCAGGAGGACGCTAATCTGCCCACCCGACGTGGGCAGATGCGCGGGAGGAAGAGACGGGAGTGAGAGGAGGAAGGCGAGTCGGCCGGCATGTGGTTTGATGGGAAGAACGCACGGGGCCGGTTGGCGCTCTAAAGTGAGAACAGCGGGTTTATGGAGTAAAAAGCTGCAGAGCAACGACTTAATAGTCGGAGAGAGACAAAGAGCGAGGAAGAGGAGTGGAGATAAAACCCAGGGAATGCTCTCTCTCCGTTTAATAGGGATTACAGGCCTGATCTGATGCACTTTGCGGGACCCTTCGCTCCGTCATATGGCTCTATATTTAATTATTCTGTGCCTTTAAGAGGTCCGCCGCAGTCACACACAACCCAGAGCTCCCTGCAATAATCCAAATTCATTTTGAAACTGACACCAGATGGGGGCTGCCAGCCTGGCACCGACTCCTGCTGTTGACTGGTCACTCTGCGTGTGTGTGTGTATGCGTGTGCGTGCGTGTGTGCATGCATGCGTGTGTGTGTGTATGCGTGTGTGTGTGCGTGTGTGTGTGCGTGCGTGTGTGTGCGTGTGTCCAGAAGGCCTGTACTCACTCTTGGAGAAGCGCGGCGGGTTGTCGTTCACGTCCGACAGGGTGATGCTGACCGTGGTGGTTCCTGAGAGCCCGCCCATCTGGCCCGCCATGTCTTTGGCCTGGATCACTACCTGGTAGTCCTGCTTCACCTCGCGGTCCATGCCGGGCAGCGCCGTCTTGATCAGACCTGCAGACGGAAAAACCAACACGACAGTGGGATTAAATCCAGATTAATCCCCCAAATTACAAAAACACGCTGGAAGCAAAAACTGTTTTACAAACTCAGATAAATTGGGAACCAAAATTGCAAACTTTTGGTTTTTGAAGACTTAATTTTCCGAAAATCTGTTTTCAGCATGTAATTTATGCCCAGGGTGGCCATCTTGTTTCACAGCTTTTATTTATTCAAAGTTTTAAGCGAAGACTATGATTTTTATTTTATTTTGGGAATAAAGTCACAATATTACCAGAGTACAGTTGTACAGCAATAAATATGAAATAATACAATAATAAAGTTTAAGACATGATATTAGAATGAAGTACTAATTTTATAAAAACCTCTACATGACAAAAAGTTAAAAAATAAATAAAAATGAGAAATCTTCAGCCTCTTGTAGTTAAACAAAACTTTCTGTAGCATGGCTCTAATACTTTGTAATACAACTCACAGAACCAGTTTGTTTTTTCAGAGTGTGTTTCCACATTCACACCGCCCCAAACGAACTGGACATGGAGATGGATTAAAGCGGACTAAACACGTGTTTATTTGCTGTTGTGGTCACTGAATGCTCTTGCACCTGACTTTTGGTTGGACTGGACCATAAAAATATCTCCCAATTAATTTCCCTATGAAAATCAGTAGAAATATACAAATTACCCCTGATTATGCATGATATAGGCCACTGGAGAACATGGAAGAAATACTGCCAGTAGGACACAATGTCAGAATTAAATATATCTCAATCAATGCTGCAAATTTCAATATTGTACAAGTTAGTATATTAAATTACTACAATTAGTTGTTTGTCCAAGAAAACCAATGGAATGGAACCAACTGCAAATTGCCCAGTTGGAATTGAAGTTCAGTCCAGTTTGATTCATACCAAAACATTTCAAAATAACCTCAATGCAACACGATCAGATTCCAAACAGTCCAGTTTGTTTCAGTCGTTTCCAATACAAGTCAATCAAAGTAAATGAAATATAATTTACTAAATGAAAAAAGAATAAAGCTAAATTCAGTCCAGTTTATTCAGTACAACCCAGATGTAATTTAGTAAGACTGCTAAAGATTCAGTTTATTAACAAAGATGATTATTCACACCTGGTTCAGCTTAATCAGACTTTTATTGATCATGAATCAGTTCAATTAAAAGAAACGCTGAATTGATCCCAGAGGGAAATTAAATGTTGTTGTAACTTATATTTTACACTTTTCTTTTTTCTATTTCAGTTCACAATAACGTTTCTCCCTCTCATTGACTAGAGTCTTGAAAACAAATAATTTAATCACTGCATGTTTTTTAAGCTAAAAAGCGCAATCTTTAATTTTCTCAGAGTTGAAGCGACATCTGAAAGCTTCCAGGATCGTTTGTCGCCTCCTCTGTGTTGATGTTTGCACCATTATAGCGCTGAGGAGTTGCTTGCTCCTTGAAACGCCTTCCGCTTGGCGTTGGGACAGAGCGAGGCGGTAATTGGCAGCATGCTGAAAAGGTGTGCTCAGACTCCCATCAGGCCCTAAATCCAGGCTGCTGCTAAACGCTTTCATTTGAAGCAAAGAAGCTGGTGGGAGTTCAAACTCAGAACGATGCAAACTTAATAAATTTCACCTTGAATAAAGCTAAACTTTCAGGGATTGAGGGTTGAGGAAAAGCAGAATAAGATTTAAAGCAACAAGGGAAGAGATGGATGTTTTGAATCAACTTTTCTTTAGTTTTTGATGGAGAACAATGTAAACCATGCATTTTATCAGGGGGCAGACACTGGTATGATACCAAAGCTAAACACAGCTAACCTACACAGATATCCTGAAAAATAACTTACAAGGGTCGACACAAATATGTTAAAATATGGATAACATGAACTGAAAATGACTAAAATCGGCCTGTGATGATGTAATTCAAAAAAACAAATGGTGACAGCTATCATCGACCAATTCCACTGGTTAAAAAACATCTAACATCGACCAACTCCAAAATCAGCTGATATTGTTAAAAATAACCACCATTGGCCAATATCAACATGTTCAGAAACGGCTAACATCGACTGATGGCAACTCTAAATTACGCTAAACAAATCAATTTCACCTCGAATAAAGCGAAACCGTCAGAGTTTCAGTTTCAGTTTGAGCAGAATATGAGAAGGAGGAGGATTTCTTTTGTTTTTGTCAGGCGACTTCACTTCCTGCTTCCACCTTTGTCGTTCCTTAATGACTACAAAACCCAGAGAAGAAGAGGAGGAGTGGGAAACAAATCCTGCTTATAACGCGATGTCCAGGCATGTCTTTGTGTAAGAGGGGATGTCAGCTTACATACCACATGTGGGATAAACCATATTACTGTTAATCCCCTCACTAATCTGCAAATGGCTTTTTTTCCCCGACTCTTTTGTTTAGACGCGAGCGGGATGCGTTCCAAAGCGCGCAGTAATGATTAAAAGTAGATCTTTAGGACGGCTGATTTGCAGCAAATCCCGTCTCCCCTCCCCGCTCCGCCCAGCGGCGGCGGCTTCAGAGGAGGTGAGGCGGGCGGGTTTCTGGGAAAACTAGGCTGGTTTCACTGCGTTCTCCTGTCAGGGTTTGTTCTTGTTCGGCTTCTCTTCTGAACATTTCTGTTTGCTCACCGTGGCGCCCTGCAGGCAGCACCCAGTCTGCAGGTGGAGCGGCTGGAGCTCAGCTGCTCTGACAGTTTTTACTAAATATTTAGGTGGATCCAATGAAAGAAACCTTGATTTACAAAAGTAATCAATAAAAGATTATCAAAATGGCTCATTGACTGCTGAAGCATCAGTTCAATCAGTTATTTGAGTGAACTTAAATATCAGAAGGACAGAAGAAATAAATAAACATAAAATGAAACTAAGGTAACAAATGAAGAAAAAAAGAGGTGAATGAGTGAAGCAATAGATTTAATAAATTTTGCCTACTTTTCATCCCTAATTAATGCATAATGAGCAGTTATTAATGATTTATAAAATGTTCATGGTCTCATTGTGAAGTTGTACCTGAAGTTTTATTGTAAATAATTCTTTAAAATGGCCAACTGACCTGTTTCTGGATCCACGGAGAAGTACGGCTGACCCTCCAAGATGCTGTACACCACCTTGGCGCTGTTCCCGTAGGTGGCGTCGTCTGCGTCTGTGGCCGTCACCTGGATCACCGAGGTGCCTGCGCCGAGAAAACAGCATCAGGACAATGATTCACATAGTGGCTGAAGAACGAGCCTCTGGATAATCAGTCGGGCCGATGAGACGTCCGGTCCTCCTTGGTATATGAATGATCGTTTCTGTCTCTTTACGTTACCAGAAGCAATCCTTATCACAACGCCGCGAATATCTGCACACATGATGGATCTCCACGGCTAATCGATTGGCCCTAATGTAAACATATCTCTGCCTGCAAACCCCAAGACACCCATCAACGTTTCCGTGGATCCAGAGTCTGAGAAACAAATACAAAGCCTAGAAAAATATTCAGCTTCTTCACATGTTGTTGCATTTCTGCTGTGAGTTTTAATGTCTTTTATTTGGATTTTACCGAATGCAATTTGTTATAGAGAAGGAGGTCGAATGTACATGCAGTCCACACTATTCATATTTGACAATTTGGGCCAATATTGGTATCTGATTATAATATTTTTATTTCGGCTGACATAGAAACATGGACTGATATCAATGCAAAAAATATATATCGGCCAATAGCGATATATTAAAAAACAAGTACAGATTTGGTAAAAAAATATTTAAATTGGGCTCTGCTGATAAGATAAAAAAATAGCCACCCAATATGTTACATAACACATAATATTGGTCAATACAATATGTAAAAAACGACAACTGGCTGATGTTAAAAACAATCTGGTGTTACCAAAAAGGTAAAAAAAAAATGACTAAAAATCAGCCAATATTGTTAAAAATTACTAGGGTTAGTTGATACAAAACCAGTTACCATTGGCTAATGTTGAAATATGTCTAACACCGATTCATAGCAATGTTAAAGAAATGGTGAAAATCAACAAAATCCAAAGTTAAAATGGCTAACATTAGCTAACACCGACATGTGTAAAAATGGCTAACATTAGCTGATACCAATATGTGTAAAAATGGCTAACATTAGCTAACACCGACATGTGTAAAAATGGCTAACATTAGCTGATACCAATATGTGTAAAAATGGCTAACATTAGCTAACACCGACATGTGTAAAAATGGCTAATGTCGACCACTACCATTGCTAAAAATGGCTAACATTAGCTAACACCGACATGTGTAAAAATGGCTAACATTAGCTGATACCAATATGTGTAAAAATGGCTAACATTAGCTGATACCAATATGTGTAAAAATGGCTAACATTAGCTAACACCGACATGTGTAAAAATGGCTAATGTCGACCACTACCATTGCTAAAAACGGCTGACATTAGCTGACACCGATATGTGTAAAAATGGCTACCAATGACAGAAACCAATGATAAAAACATAACCTACTCTAATGTTAATCCCGAAAAATCACGCATCCCTGGTTCTGGATGTTTAATGTGATAAACAGCAGAAAAGTTAAATCGGAGCGGGGAGTTTTTGTGCCTGGATGCAGGTGAACATTTGTGATCCACTTTCTCTTCCAGAAGGAACAAAGGGAGACCGTTAGCCAAGCGCTAGCTCCCAAACGGCGCCTCGCGGGCCAAGTGTTGCCTCATTACATGCAGAGGGAAATTAATTGAGTAGAAATATTTAATGGCAAACTGCTATAAATACAGAATTGTGCAACAGAAGAAGAGAGCGACATGATGGAAGTTTGCTTATTTGATGTGAGCCGAGGCGAAGGGAGACGTTGAAACCAGAACCGTCAGACTGAGGCAGCGATTCGGGGAGATTCTCCAGGAAGTTCAGCGAACCCTGATCGCTAATACCTCTGACAAAGGAATTAGACTCAAAGAGGCTTTTTTCTGTCACAGATCCACATCAGTCACCTTTAAATCTTTAAGTCAGGAACGATCACATCACAGGATTTTCTTCTTCTGCTGCCGCTTTTTTCTCTGCAGGGTTGCCAGGTCTGACAGTATCCAACCCTGTTACCGATATGTTTGAAAATGGCTAACATTTTTAAACATATCGGTTTAAATGTGTTTAAACCGATAAAACCCTTGCAGGTTGCCAGGTCTGACACTTAAACCCCCAAACAGATGGTAGCACCACATATTGTCATTTATATAAAATAAGTCCAAGACACTAAATTTATTAAAGGTTTTGTGCTTTTCTGTCTGTCATAATACTAAATTGAACTAAAAATTATTGCGATAAACAATAATATTGTTGTTTTGAGACCATTTTCAAGTGGTACTAATCAGAAAATAATGCAAGAACAGGTTCTTAAGCTCAATAAACTTTAAATCCCAAAATCCCACTGAAACTGGAAGAAATGTGCAAAATAAATAAAGCAATAAAATGACAAATAAAATGAATTATAAAGTCTCTGGAAACAAAACTGTTCTTTAAGCATCACACTGCAAAAATACAAAATCTTATCAAGTATTTTTGGCCTAGTTTTTAGCATAAAAATAAAACAAAACTAACTTATAAACAAGTTTTCAGCAGCATATAAGGATATTCTAAGTCAACAATCTGTTAATATTGATGAAAAAGTTCCACTGGCAGATCTTTGAAGTTATAAAATGGGAAAAATATCTTGCTATAAGTGAAATTATTTGTCATACTGCTTATACTTTTAATCTACATTAAGAAATTATTTACTTAAAACAATCTCCTATTTGTGGTTAAAAAGTTACATAAGAATTAGTTTTGACTTATTTCAAATGCAGTAAGAAATTTGCACCTGAATTTAACCAAAAATACTTGGTAAGATTCAGACTGAAGACTTTTGTCATCCAGTTTTTAGAAGAAAGAGAAAAACGATGAATCGTGTAAAGGGAAATCACGATTAATTGATTAATTGATTATTTGGACAGCTCTAAAAAAGGAGCCCAGGTTTGATCAACCTGTGTTCTATGTGGCAACGCCGTTTTTTGGCAGCAATAAAAGCCAAAGCGAGTGTCACTTTTAAAGGAGCGGTGTCTCTGCGCAGTGACTCGTGAACTCATGCTCTGCCATGCGCTGACATCACACCTCGCCTGTTGCCATGGGCACCCGTGCTGCCCTCAGATAAGTGGCGGCCCTCTCTCGCTGGGGGTTGCTGAACCGAGTGACAACTGTGTCACATGTCTGACCGCAGTCGCCCAGAGACACTTTTCTTATGTTTTTCATGCTGCTATCGATTGGGAGACTTTCTGTGTTGTTTATCTATATTCATGAGCCGCTTTTAGAGCCAGAATTAAACTTTCATTGGGAGGAGAGTGATGGTGCAAATGGTGCGGCCACTGCAGCCGCAAGGATTAAAATCCACACTTCTTCTCTGCAGTGACAGAGCTGACAGTGTTGCTAATTAAATTCAATTAAATTCTGCCTTAATAGACTACAATACTGTGTTTAAAAGATTATCTGCTGCAGCAGCTGTTTAGTCTGGTCTCCTCATCGCTCGTTTAATTAGACGTGCTCTCTTTGTTGAGTTGGCGTCATTATGATGATTGATAAAATCCCACTGATCCACAGTTTTATAACATCTGAATCATAATCCTGTTAATGCGGCTCAACCTTCACCTGAGTAAATGTTGATCAATTTAGGTTTTTACGAGTTGGTCGCAGCCAAAAGCTCCAGCAGAGACAAAAAGACTCGCTGGGTATCATGAAATATTAAGCAATAGGACTCATTAGGTTAAGGTTGGTGTCTTCATCAGAGGTTTAGGTTGTTGGTGCAGCGCCCCCACAGGCGAGGAGGGAAACAGGTTTTCAAACGGTTTGGATCATTTGCAGCTAAAAATGCAACAAATGTTGCAACTTTGTCGCCAAATCAAACCGAATCTACCGAACTAAAGCAGAGGTGTCAAACTTTCAGCTGTGTATTTAGGGCCACTGTAGGTAACAAACAAAGATGGAGCAAATTTCTGCCAAAAAAAAAGAAGAAAAGAAAACATTTTTAAACAAACAAGAAAATTAATAAGTTTGAAAAAAAAAAATAGAAATTTGTTAGATTAACCCCAAAAATTATCTAGGAAAAAAAATTAATTTCTGAAGTCAAACTCAAAAATTTTAAGACATTTTCTAGAACAAACTTTGACATTTCTGAATTTTGAAAGTTGAAAATTTGCTACTAAATAAAATAAACATTTGAGAATAAATCTTATAAATCTTATAGAAAAAAAACTGAAAAGTTTGACTGAAGTTTTGACTATTGGAAACTTTTGAAATCAAAAATTTCAGAAAATAGTCTAAGTTCTTCAGAGTTTATCTGGCAAACTTTTTAGCTTTTCAAACTCAAGAATGTCCTTGATTTTTCTAGAGCTGTGCTCCTCCCTCGGCCCCAATCCCCCGCCATACGAACCCGAGGACCCGGAGTTTCGAGAAACGTACCGACGTCGGACATCTCGGCCACCCGGGCGATGTACGGGTCCTTGGTGAAGCGCGGCTCGTTGTCGTTGATGTCGTGGATCTTGATGATGAACTCGGACTCGCCCTCCAGCGCCTCGTTGGTCAGCCGGTTGACGGCCTTGGCGTGCAGGATGTAGTAGGCCTTCTCCTCGCGGTCCAGCCTCTTGGTGGCGTGGATGTCGCCAGACTTCTCGTCGATCTTGAAGAGCGTCCCGGCGCCCTCGCCGGTGAGGACGTAACGCACGCTGCCGTCTCCTCTGTCGCCGTCCGAGTGGAGCTACGAAACAAAGCAAAAGCCTTCAAATCAGCAAAAATCTCACTTGGTTTTCTTGGAGATACAGTGGCTCAACATTTTATAAATTTTAATGTATTTTATATCAAAAATCAACACAAAGTAGCAAATTAAATGAAAAGGAAAACAAAACAACATCACCAATATAGAACTCAGTGCAAATGATTTCATTTAGAAGACACATAATTCATAAAGAGAGTAAATTATTCTCATTATAAATGGAGCTGTTGTACAGTGGCGCTCTTAAATGGTGGCCAAAGGGGGCCAAGGCCTCTTTGGAAAATTGCTGGATTTTTGTCAAGTTTCTATACATGTTATAACGGAAAAAAATACTGAAATAATCTCATAATCAATGAAATTGGGCTTAATTATTTAGATTCTGATCATGTATGTGTGGTTTTTGTTTAAGTTTTGTTTTAAATTGTGTTTTATTTTGGATAGTTAATATATCTTCTAGTTCTAAATGTGTTCTCTACAATATTAAAGTTTATTAGTCTTTGAGAAATCAAACTTACATTCATTATGCCGTTATTAAAATATTACTTGAAAACGGTGTTAAAGCAACATTATAATATTTTGCCCTGTAATAATTGTCATAATTTGAGCCTGTCACTTATAATGTATTCTAAGTGACATTATACATAATCTGTTTCATCAATATTAAAGTATTATTGTCTTAAAACAAACAGAAGTTACTTTAAGTTTGTTTTGTTTTTTTCCCAGTATACTAAGATAGAATCTAGATGAAAAATACTTTTGTGTTTTTGCAGTGCAGCAGTTTGTGTAATGCTCATTTTAATAATTTTTCACTTTGCCACTTTCTGCTGCTAATTGTTTCAAACTCAGCTTCACGAGAGCTTTCACATTTGCTTAATTTGCTTTTATGAACACCGAGCTGCAGCTTGTTGAGAAGGACAATAAAATTATCACCGGCTGCAAAAAGAAAAAAAAAAAATAACAGTGAGAGAACTGTCTGACTGCTTGACTGACAGGGAATCTCTGTCAGAAACACATCCCTGCGATGAACACTTTGTACCAGAAACTGCCAGCAGAAACAATTTTCAAAGCAGAGTCGCACTTTTCAACGCGGCGCACACAAACATCAGCGGTCCGACCAATCTGGGCGCTGGCAAATAAACGCTGACAGCTTTGATCGAGCGTGTTTGGTGTCATTTAACAGATTCGTATCATCTTTAGTAAACTGTCACCGCGTTATGATGACACACGCTTCATGGCTTCACCTCGCCTCTGTGAAAATCTGCCACGAGAGAAGCTGCGTTCGCTGCGACTGTTGCACTCATGTCGTCACGATCTCCGTCCTGGAAGTTTCCAGAACGCTGCCGCTGAAAAGGCGGCCTAGTCAAAGCCAAACTGGAACGTAAATGCACTCTGATGGTTGACAAATGTAACTAACTCATTATATTATAAAACAATAAGTATCACTGCAAAAACAGTTTCGAACACAAATATCTTAATAAACTTAAAAAAAAAACAACTTAAAAGTAGCTTTTCAGCAAATTATAGGAGCTTTTTTATGTCAATGATTCCTTTCCAATAAAATATCTCAGTACAAATATCTCAGTAAAGTTGAAATAAGACAAACATATATAGAGACAGGAGTTTGCTTTAAGTCAATATTCCTAAATATTGATTCAACATTATAGTTCTCATAACATGGGTAAAATATTTTGTTATAAGTGAAATAATCTGTATTTTTACCAATATCAAATAACTATTGATTTAAAACTGTTTATATTTTGCTGATATGTCACTTGTACGTTTGTTTTCTTCAATTTTAAGTGTAATAAGATGTTTAAACTAGAAATTTGACAAAAATAAAAATAATTTTTCAGGGGGCCCATGCCTCCCCTAACCCACCATTTAAGGACACCACTGCCTTTAAAGCCAGAAACAAAACATCTGCATTAATAATTAGATTAAATCACAAATTCTTGACTTTTTAAATGAGATTACTTTATTTTTCAGTTGTTTTGATTTTCATTTCCCATTTTTTGTGTCAGTTTATCCCAATAAAACACGAAAGTAGCGTGATAAAACGATGAACCGCTGCTTCTCCCTCTCCACATGAACACCAGCTTAGCATGCGCTGACATTTTAATTCCTCCACCAAATCCCCCTTAACATATTTATCTCAGAGAACTCATCAAAAGCTCGTCCAGCCCCCTTTTCCTCCTCCTTCACCCCGCTTCAATCATCATGAAAATGATAATTATAACTTCACAGAGGGTCAAAAATGTTTGCAGACACAGTAAACTAAAGAGACGGTTCGATTCCAGCGCCTCGTCCCGGTTTTCAGCGTGACTTTCTGCCGTTTTTGGCCCAAACTGAGGACAGATCGAGGGTGGATATTCTTGCGTCGCGTTTGGGTCACGTGGGAAACCAAGTCTCATCATATATTAAAAAGCTTTTCATCGCAGGTGCTGGGAGGCTTTACTAATTCATGGAGTTTTATCGGGGCTGGCACACGCGAGGCCGACAGCTTTCTGGATTAGAGTATTTAACACTGTTTTGTTCGGCTGCCTAACGTCCTCAGAGTTTCACCACGTTTGGATTTGGATCTTGACGGTTTCATTCGCTTTGAATCCTGGTCAAAGAGACTCTTCTCTCTGCAGAAACACACAATCGCATGGGTCGAGTTTCTGGTGGAAGAAGGAAAAACTGACTTATCGATAACTTTTCAGCAAGAAATAAATATTTTCCATTGACATGATTTATTGTTTTTCTGTTTTCTCTCTCTCTTTCTACCCAAACTGGTCTTCAGTTTGGTGTTTTCTTGTTTCCAGAAACTTCATGACTCATTTATTTGAAATGTCTTCCAGCTCCAGTTGTTAACGTTCATCAGTTTATTGATCTTGGAGGATTTGTTCTTGCTATATTACCATTATATTACTTGAAAATGGTCTCAAAACGACTATATTATGATTTGCTACGATAACTTCTGGAATAATTTAACATCGAAAATACAGTTTTCTGGAAAAAATCGCTTTATAACTAGACTAACAACTCGCCTGTCCAGAGATGACGGTGCTAAAGAAAACAATGACTTTTTATTTGTGTGTTTTTATTACGTCAAGCCCTCTGAACTGTCTTGTTGCTGAAATGTGATTAATTTAACTGATTAATCTGATTTATGTGACAAACCTAAACATGGGAGCTTGTTTTGGGTTTATAATTCCTTAATCTGGATGAAAAGAACCGGTTCCACTGGCAGATTATTTCACCTACAACATGTGAAAATGTTGCAAGTGAATTAAACTACAAATTTAAGATCAATATTAATAAATTAGTGACTTAAAAGGAGCTCATGTAAGTTAGTTTTATGTTATTTGAGTCAGAAAAAGAAAGTTGCACTAAAACTGGGCCAGAAATACTTGGTAGGATTTTCTTATTTTGCAGCGGGAGAATATTCTGCTTCCAAACACAGACTCGGTCGGCTGAAAACAATCCACTTCAACTTTATTATCTTCCTCCCTCTGTTATAGCTGCAATGTCCTTTTCTATGATTGTCTATCAAGCCGCCTATCTCTGCCTGCACGACTGTTCAGTTAATAACCATCGAGTCGTCTCCTTTGGGCTGAGATGTGAGATAGACAGTGTTGCACGCGCCGTGTCGGCTGTCATTTCTATGGAAACAGAGAGATCTTGAGGTTTTGAAGAGTTCCTCCTCATCCTCTGTGAAAGACATTTAATAGAAGACAGTTCAGGGATCGAACTCCAACGCCTGCTGCTGTGACCCCGTCCCTCCCAGCTGCCCACCTTGCCGGTGAGAAAAATGTACCGCTGGCCTTCTCCTCAAATTAAGAGGAAGAAGAAAAAAAAAAAACTTATGTGGAAATCAATGTGGCAGCCCAATGTGCATTCACAATGGCCTTTTGATCAATTTATATTGAAAATACAATTAAACTGTCACAGGGGGAGAAAAGAAAGCCACATGTGCTTTCAGTGTGGTCACCAAAAGGGCCCGGCACGTCAATACCCTGCTTTTTCTCCTTTGCCCCCCTATGGTCCCAAATTGTTGTAAAAAAAGGCAGAGAACATGACGCTATATCCATTAGCACTGGGGGTCTTCGTCTTTTCAAGACAGAGAGACGGTAAAAAGAAAGCACCATCTCATTAGGTCACCGTGTCGATAATAAAACTTTCATTTTAAAAGGAAGGAAAGAATGAGGAGAAGACTGCAGTTAGCAGCTTGCTAGCATAAGTTAGCTTAGAAAAATGAAATAAACACAAACAAAGAGCTTAGCTTTGTGTATATTAACTCAAGTAAAAAGGGGCTAGCAGCTAGTTAGCATATTTAAAGCTAGCATGAAGATAAAGTAAGAAAGTTGAATAAAACTACGTGCTGCTGAATAGCTTTGCAAATTCTTAGCATATCTAACATTACAGTAAAAAGTTTATTAAGTAGCGCAATTTTACAGTAATTGCTTAGAAATTAAGACAGGGAGAATTAAAGTTAGCTTTACGAACTTTATAAAGTTTATAACATATAATTCGGAAACAACTTTAAATGTTTAAAGTTGTCAAATTGCTAATTAGCTTAGCAAAGAAAGAAATAAAACACTGAATCTAGTGACTAGTTAGCTTAGCTTTGAATAAACTAATTAAGACCAGCAGCTAGTAAACATATTTTAAGGTACAGTAAGAAAGGTCAATAATGCTACCTGCAGCTGGTTAGCTTAGCATATTTTTAGCCTCCGTAACTGCAGTAAAAATTGCATTCAGTAGCATAGTTTTACAGAATGAGCTTAGAGGCTCAATTATTTCTTAATATTAAAGAGAAAGTCATAGTTCCACTGGCAGATTCCTTCACTTATAACAAGACAGTTTTCCTGTGTGATAAGTGAAATATTATGTCATTTGTATTAGTACTTTTTATTCAATATTCAAGAATTATTTACTTAAATAAATAATTTTCCTATATTTTGTTTAATAATTACTGTAAAGTTAGTTTTATCTCATTTCAA